AGCACACTTCTCTTAAGTGTTTTAATAATAATAATAATAATAATAATAATAATAATAAGAAGAAGAAGAAGAAGAAGAAATACAGAAAAAAAATGTTCCCACGCTTTACGAAGGGCTTTATCTATGTAATTTTTTTTGGTCAATTGGAAAATGTCATGATGCCATTTCTAACCTTAGGTCTCTGGGCGGGACCCGGAAAGAAATGTGTACACACCAGAAATCAAAGGAAATACCCAGACCCTGTTACAATTCTATGGGACTACACAATATACACTGACAGAACAATCAAAGCCAACCGCCCAGATATTGTTATTAAAGACCACAAACAAAAAAAAGTGCCTGCTTATCGATATGGCTGTCCCTGCTGATTACAATGTATCTTTGAAGATATTCAAAAAGTTGTCAAAATACAAGGACCTTGAAATAGAAATCTCGAAAATGTGGCATATGGGAACATCAACAATCCTTGTTGTAGTTGGAGCCCTAGTGCTGGTTGGAAAAGATTGCAGTAGACTAATTGAAGGGATTCCTGGAAATCCATGACTCAAGGAGATACAAAAATTGTTCTGACAAGTACAGCCCACACTTTACGAATGGTTTTATCTATGTAATTTTTTTTTGTTGTCAGTGGAAAGTGTCATGGTGCCATTTCTAACCTTAGGTCCCTAGGCGGGACCCGGAAGAAATGTGCAAACGCCAGAAATTAAAGAAAATAATAATAATAATAATAATAATAATAATAGAAAATGCGGATGAACTGCGTGGAAACAAAAATATGTCAGCCAGAAACTTGGAAATAGCATGTTGGCTTACAAAGAATGCAAGAATATGCGTAGCTGAGTGGGGAAGATGATCCATGGAGAATTATGGAATAGAATGGGGAAGATGATCCATGGAGAATTATGCAAGAATATGCGTAGCTGAGTGGGGGGAAGATGATCCATGGAGAATTATGCAAGAAAGCGTAGCTGAGTGGGAAGATGATCCATGGAGAATTATGCAAGAATATGCGTAGCTGAGTGGGGAAGATGATCCATGGAGAATTATGCAAGAATATGCGTAGCTGAGTGGGGAAGATGATCCATGGAGAATTATGCAAGAATATGCGTAGCTGAGTGGGGAAGATGATCCATGGAGAAATGCGTAGCTAGTGGGAAAGAATGGAGAATTATGCAAGTAGCTGAGTGGGGGAAGATGATCCATGGAGAATTATGCAAGAATATGCGTAGCTGAGTGGGGGAAGATGATCCATGGAGAATTATGCAAGAATATGCGTAGCTGAGTGGGGAAGATGATCCATGGAGAATTATGCAAGAATATGCGTAGCTGAGTGGGGGAAGATGATCCATGGAGAATTATGCAAGAATATGCGTAGCTGAGTGGGGAAGATGATCCATGGAGAATTATGCAAGAATATGCGTAGCTGAGTGGGGAAGATGATCCATGGAGAATTATGCAAGAATATGCGTAGCTGAGTGGGGAAGATGATCCATGGAGAATTATGCAAGAATATGCGTAGCTGAGTGGGGAAGATGATCCATGGAGAATTATGCAAGAATATGCGTAGCTGAGTGGGGAAGATGATCCATGGAGAATTATGCAAGAATATGCGTAGCTGAGTGGGGGAAGATGATCCATGGAGAATTATGCAAGAATATGCGTAGCTGAGTGGGGAAGATGATCCATGGAGAATATGCGTAGCTGAGTGGGGAAGATGATTGCAAGAAATATGCGTAGCTGAGGGGGGAAGATGATCCATGGAGAATTATGCAAGAATATGCGTAGCTGAGTGGGGAAGATGATCCATGGAGAATTATGCAAGAATATGTAGCTGAGTGGGGAAGATGATCCATGGAGAATTATGCAGAATATGCGTAGCTGTGGGAAGATGATCCCATGGAGTGGGGAAGATGATCCAAGAATATGCGTAGCTGAGTGGGGGAAGATGATCCATGGAGAATTATGCAAGAATATGCGTAGCTGAGTGGGGGAAGATGATCCATGGAGAATTATGCAAGAATATGCGTAGCTGAGTGGGGAAGATGATCCATGGAGAATTATGCAAGAATATGCGTAGCTGAGTGGGGAAGATGATCCATGGAGAATCCAAGAATATGCGTAGCTGAGTGGGGAAGATGATCCATGGAGAATTATGCAAGAATATGCGTAGCTGAGTGGGGAAGATGATCCATGGAGAATTATGCAAGAATATGCGTAGCTGAGTGGGGAAGATGATCCATGGAGAATTATGTAAACGAAGACATTTTGAACAAACTGAATATATATGGATATATCATTTTTTTTTTCTAGAGAATGAAACACAAAACAATTTTTTGAGAATCAAACGGATCACTCAAGCCAGGACAGAAGGAATATAAAGGTGACAGGCATTATCGAAGCTTTGGAAACGGTCCCGAAAGACCGAGGAAAAGACTGGCGGAATTGGAAATCAGGGGAAAAGTTGGAACCATTCAGCATTATATGGAACCAACTAGAATACTGCAGTGAGTGCTGGAGTATTGAATGGATTTTCTCTTACTTAATCTCTTGTTGAAACCACCATTTATTACTGCTGGGAACAGTAAATGAATAAATGCTACCTCTAATAAATATAAATAAATATATAATAATAATAATAATAATAATAATAATAATAATAATAATAATAATAATTTACTAATTGATATGGCTTGTCCAGCGGATTGTAACATAGCAACCAAGGAATTTGAAAAACTATCAAAATACAAAGACCTGGAAATTGAAATAGAAAAAAATGTGGAAATTGAAAACAAGAATAATACCAGTGGTAATAGGTGCACTTGGAATTATAAAAAATGGAACAAAACAACACATTGAAAGAATCCCTGAAACCCCAGCTTAAGAGACATACAGAAAATTGTCTTATTAAGTACAGCACACACACTAAGGAGAACTTTGTCTATGTAACGCTAGCAACTTCATCGGAGATAAAAAAAAAAAAAAAAAAAATTAACATGAAATGTAATATAACAACAACACACGACCTGCCTTAGGTCTTTCCGCAGACTTGGTAGGTAGTGTGTCCATAGCAGAAAAATAATAATAATAATAATAATAATAATAATAATAATAATAATAATAAGAAGAAGAAGAAGAAGAAGAAGAAGAAGAAGAAAAAGAAGAAGAAGTACAAGAAGAAGGAATAATAATGTTAATAATTATAAATGATAAAATAGTAATAAAAACAATAGCAATAATAACAAAAACAGCAACAACAACAACAACAACAACAACAACAACAATAATAATAATAATAATAATAATAATAATAATAATATGCTAAAGAATTGCCAAGAAAAATATTACAGGTGCACTATTTGATAAATGATTGTAGTAAAAAATTAAAATAAATAATAATAATAATAATATAAGCGCCCAGACATCGTGATGAAAAAACCATAAAAACAGAATATGCCCTCTTATTGACATTGCAATCCCTGCAGACTATAAGGTATCTTTGAAAATCTTCAAAAATCTACCAAAGTATAAGGACCTTAAAATGGAAATCTAAAAAATGTGGCACATGAAGACATCGACTAATCCATTTGTAGTTGGAGCCCTCGGATTGATTGGATAAGGTTCCGATAGACTCATTGAAGGGATTTCTGGTAACTCATGCCTTAAAGAAATACAAAAAATTGTACTCACAAGTACAGCTCATACATTATCTATGTAAAATGTGTGTGATCTTGGTATTTTTTTTGTTTTTTTTAAATGATCAGTGGAAAATAAAATGTCATGATGTCATCTGACATTAGGTCTATGGTTGGGACTCGGAAAGAAATGAGTATACACCAGGAGGAGGAGAAGTGGTGATGATGATGATGATGATGATGATGATGATGATGATGATGATGATGATGATGATGATGATAAAAATAATAATAATAATAATAATAATAATAAGAAGAAGAAGAAGAAGAAAACGTCAACAAATAGCATCGGGACAAACCAGAGGTTTTCCAAGAAAAATAAAGAAGAAAAAAAAATGATATTCTTGAGTGTTTTGGCATCCATATTGCCACCGACTTGAAATATGAAAATACCTGATGAACAATGAAAAGAAAACTAACAGACTGGGAAACATGTCTGTCCGCGAATTATAAATTGAAGACGAAAGAAATCGAAGGTTCGGTAAACAAATACGAAGACCTAGCCGATTACATTTTGAAATTCCATATTGACATCTTTTGGGCCTACTTTTAAAATAAGTCGTGTTTACAATTCTGATGACTGATGAAAAAGAAGACAATTAAAAATTTATTAGCGCCATCTTTTCAAACAAACACATTTATTATTTATAATCAAATATAGCAACACGCGCTTATTTAATTGAGTAGAGAACATTAAGTGTGGGATCAATTTTGTTTTACAGTCAAGTAATAAACAGATGCCCCACTTTCTATCACTTTTGTTTGAATTTTCCATCTCTAGACTCTATTAAAATTTGAATATTATTACTTGCGACATTTTGGTCTTCTTAGAAAATAACCTGGGATAATAATGGAGAAAAAAGTCAATTTAATTATGCTGGGCTTTTAAATGTAACGAAATCCAATAACCGAAACACTGCTTATTTAATTAATAAACAAGAAGATATTAAATGGGGGATCAGTTTTGTTTTATAACCAACTCGTAAACAGATCCCAACAAGCAAAACGACCACAATAACCGAAGTGACCATAATAATCGAAGTGACCGTAATAAACGAAATTACCATAATAACCGAAGTGACCATAATAAACGAAATGACCATAATAACCGAAGTGATCATAACAAACGAAATGACCATCATAAACTCACCCATTTCAGTTCCTTGTTCACATTGTTCTTTATGGCCTCCGGAATCAGCGATGGCTCCCGTCACACTTCTCAGCTGACTCATGTCTAGCACACAGTTCCCACACTCCAGACCACTGAGAAGAGACGAACATACAGTGCCATCATTAAAACATTTTATTATTATAGTTCTACAGTATTTGTATTATTATCTAAATTTATTCTATCGTTTTTTTTATCACAATAATGTTTGTTTTCGATCATCGTTGGCCATTTTCCATGAAAGAAGGTAGAAGCCGAGAAAAAGCCATTGGAGAGTTAAAATGCCTTCGAATGTGATAATAAAATTTAATTTATTATATATAAATGTTGTAAAAATATCCCCATCCTCATTGCCGTTCAATGAACTGATGCCGGTTGATTCCAGACAATTACCGGATGATGAGAACTACTGAGTCACGGATTGCCGGATTAAAGAAGTCGAGCTGTATGTTTATATATATATATATATATATATGTAAAAGTTAACATTGAAATCAACACTCAGTGTCGACAGACTGTTTCATGCTAGACGCAATCGTCAGGCGGCCTGACGATTACGTCTAGCATGAAACAGTCTGTCGCTTCTGAGTGTTGATTTCAATGTTAACTTTTACATTTACATACGCTCTATCTCTGATATTGAGCACTTTATCCCATAAATATAGCACACCTTAAAACTATATTTCTTCATATATATATATATATATATATATATATATATATATTGAGTGTTTATGATATTACAGCTCTGAAGTTTGAAATGAACGTCATTTAACATGCTATGCTGGGATTTTTTTACAACATTCCACAGCAGCTAATCAGCAGCAGTGTGTTTTGGAGATACGTTCTTGGTCATATATGTAAATGCATATTTACCGATTCAGAAAAGCAGTTATATTTTGGAGTTTTAGGCTTTTCTTTAGACTTTGTATTGCATGAAACAATAAAATCCTTGTCTGGTATCAAGCTTTGTTCTACCTTTGACAAAACACCAATATATATCCAGTCATGACTATTTACATAGTTTTTAGGGCTGATTTCTCTCATCCGGCATTTATTTTGCACGGCAGTGCTCTGGTTCCTTGGGTGCCGGATTAAGGAGGTCGGACTATATATATATATATATATATATATATATATATATATATATATGATGAATCTAATATTTAACATTTAATATATTAATGAAGGTGAAAATCTATAATCTAAGAGTCACTGACCTTATCACGTAGTTAATGGCGATTATGTTTTGGTCATCAAGATTCTTAGCATTGCAGATGGTTGTGGCACAAGTCTGAATCCAGTAGTAGCCGCCATGTTTATTCAACAGTCGGTAATAATCCGTACAAACTTGGCCTTTTGATAGAACTGCAAATGAAACATACAATGAAAATATATTCCTATCACTGGATTCTCAATATTTCGTAAGACCACAGTAACATTTATCAAATACATTTTGCTCAAAAACAAGCGTCTTATTTTAACCCATATTCAACTAAGGACTTCGTTTTCTTTGCCATATATTCTGACCAATTGGCTGAAAGTTCATGTTTTTCCTGATTTTACATGAAAAATGTCCACCATATTTCAGTGAAATTATCATTTATCAAAATTATCGTTTATAATAATAGTCATATATTTGCTTAAAGTTCGTATTCTCTTAATTATAGACGAAAACTTGGACATTTTCTAAAGTATTTCAATGAAATTTTTGCTTGTTATAATAATAATTCAGATATATATGAAAAATAAGGCGTCAGTTTAAAATGACGGTAAGAGTGTTTGGGTTAAACTGATGTCTTCTTTTTTCCTATATATTAATTATTTGCTTAAAGTTCGTATTTTCTTGACTTCACATGAAAAACAAAAAAAATTCTAATAAATTTCAGGGAAAATTTTCTAAAACTATAGTTTATAATTATAGTTTAGTTAATACAAAACAAAAAATTTCAAGTTTAAACTAATGCCAGAGGGGAATATGGCTTGAATTGATGCCTTCTTTTTTCTTTATATGATGGTCATTTTGTCTATTTTTTTTATTTCAGATGAAAACTTGGAAATTTTCAAATTTATTTCAGTGAAATTTTCACTCAGAAAAATTATAGTTTATAATTATAGCTTAGATATATGGAAAAAGAAAAATATTAATGCAGAAGGATATAGAGTTAATTTACTTGTTATCTGAAAAATCAATTTTTTAGAGCCTCCTACATAATATCGGTAACGGTTTCAATTAATAATGAAATACATTCTGATTGAACAAGTGAAAATCTTTCTTGAAACCAGGAAATATTAATAAAATATTGAATAAAATATAATATTGAATTATTCTGAAACTGAATAACTCTTTCTCGCTCTATCCACTCTATAAATATTTTTACGGAAGTTGTTCTAATGAGAGCCCCTCCTTGTCACCCCGACCGCATGAAATTAAACGTACTTCTAGATTGCCTACTAGGTCTCAACGTATTACTATTGAAATATCTCGAAGTAACCGTAAGTTCTATAAGATTCTTCCTCGTACTTCTCACATGTGGAACTCATTTTCTTTAACAAAATAAATGCAACGTCAATCGCCATCTTCTATCTTCCTAAATTGTGTTTTTTATTGTCCTTTTCCTCACTAAAGTTTTTTCATTCGCTTTCATTCCAAGTAACTCCTTGCATCTTAGTGGCATTATCGACTTGCTTGGGGTGAAATGACTAATATATATGCTCGATTTAATCATCTAAGAGAACACTTTTTATTTTCCATCAGAATGGCTGATGCTAACCTCCAGAACACTGACTCATTACGCCTTCGCAGACTAACGTTTTCCCAGGAACATGAAATGGAAAAAGTGTATTGAATCAGTTATTAACTCAGCAGCTAAGAATGATAATTCACCGTGTCGTGTTCTACAATATTTTCTCCCCAGAATCTATTTATAAGTCTACCATTCGTTCATGCATTGAATATTGTCGCCACATCTTGTCTGGTGCTTTTGCTATACATTTAGAGATTCTTGATAAAATCCAAATAATGAATCTGCAATATCATTGGTTTTGATCTGGCATCTCGTCTTCAGTTCACTTCTCACCGACATAAGGTAGTTTCTCTGTGCTTTTTCTATAAATACTTACACGGTAATTGTTCTGATGAACTTTCCGCTATGGTACCTAGACTTTATGAATTGAAACGCAGAACTATATTCGCAGAAAGGTTTCATCATTTTACAGTCGAAATGGCTAGATGTTACCATAATTTCTATGCTAACACTTTCTTCCACTTCTCGCTTGTGGAACTCTTTTCCAACTTCTAGCTTCCCAGTCAACTGTGGGCTTCAAAAATTTAAATGCAATGTCAAACGTTATCGTGTCTAAATTGTTGTCCTTTTATTGTCTTCTGTCCTTAATAGTAGCTTTTCTCTTGCACTCAGTAAACTCTTGCGTCGTAGTGCTTTTATTGCCTTACTTGGGGTGACATTATTAAAAAAAAGAAGCCCGTATTGTATAAATGACGTTATGTGAAAAACGGTTTCACAGAACTTGACAACACCGGAAACAAATATACAAGTTTTTATACATATAATTATTTTATACACATTTTAAACATTTTATACACATTTTAAAAATGTTGGATTGAAAGATATTTAATTTCATTCAGTAAGTGGTTATTTTTTCGTGTATAATAATATAATTGAGCATTTTGGGTCTCTTTTTGCAGCTTGCTGTATAATTTCTTTGTTTTTATAATATTTGCCTTCATCACTGGTTGTATTTTGGAGGCGTGTGATACAATGAGGCCAGCTGAGTGACAGGGTGTAATCAATTTTTGTTTTTTCTCAGATTAGGCCATTTGCAGTGGTGTGCAGTAATATGAATCTATTTTCGGAGTGTATGATGAAATTTGTTTGTCCTTGAAAAAATATTACGTCATCTGTGATTGCATCAGATTTTCATCAGGCCCAGACACTATTGTCTCGACTGTCGATTATTTGTCCCACGGTCTTTGTCTGCGATGGACATTACTTCAAGGAAGCATAAGACAAATTGTAACGCTGCACGAACACATGAGAAAACCTTACCAGTGAGCAAATCAAAATACTATAGATTGACCCGGAAACTCTCCTGATTTAAAACCAATCGAGAATCTGTCACTCTCTAAGGAACTACTTCGTGGAAGGACTTACGAAGTATTAACATGTACACTGGGTCATGATTCATTGGAAAAATACGGAAAGAAGTAAATAATATCGAAATTATTCGTTTTGTTTCAATTAATTTACACAAGGGTATATATATATATATATATATATATATATATATATATATATATATATATAAAGAAAGAACAGTAAGATATATAATCCGGTGTTCTTATAGATATTTTTATTTTTACAAAATAGTGCTCAATGTTAATTTACAGAGCATTAATATTATAAATTAATTGATTTAAAATATGTTTTTTTCGCTACACAGTTCAAACCATGTTTCAAAAATGGAAGCTAAAAGCCACGAATTTAATTTTGCAATTAAATTAAAGTCATTAGTTCCATTTCATCCTCAAGCGAATTTTGGAGTAACTTTTAAAATTACTGGGTTTTAAAAACACAGCTAAAACCCCGTTTCCATGGTTACAGATAAATCTACTTCAATTGGACAAGGGTTGTTTGGGTTTTCCTTATGTCTGTATCATTGTATCGGTTATTAGCTACATTTTGGTAAGGGGTAGGGATGTATTTTTCAATGAGAACTGACATCCGTTGAATGCATGTCGTCTGGATTTTTTCTTTTTAAATTTATTGTTAACGGCAAAAAAATTCTTACGGCATTTTTTTCCTATTTGTAAATTTAAAGATTTCGGGGGCGTTCAGATATATATATATGAATCGCTAAGCGACATTTGAATTCATCTTTTGCTATTCCAACATTGCTTCGGATCTCCGTGTCACATTTTCCATACTCTATTAAAACTCTTTCCAGATGTTTAAACTTCTCTACTTGTTTGATTGCGGCATCTCAATTTCACAGTGCGTAGCTTGTTTTTTTTTGGGGGGGGGGCTTGTTGACAACGATTCATTCTGTCTTACAATTGGTGATTACTCCTTTGTTCACACTTTCCTTTACTATATTGTCTACATTGTCCTGTAGTGTTCCGTCTGTGTCTGTCATCAACATAGTGTCAAGAGTAAAAAAAAACTATAATCCACTTTACTTTCAGGACTTAGGCGATCATGGCTCTCCACTTTCCCCTATCCCTTTTGGCTCTCAGTAAGTTTCGTCCTTCTGCCACCTCCTCCCAGACCACGTTCTGTCATCCCCTTGCTTAAGCCCGCCAGGTATGTCATGCGTTTCTTTCCCATGTCTCCCTTTCCTTCTATTCGACCTGCGAGTATCAGATTTTCCAGGCCCCTTTCTCATTACGTGTCCCAGAAACTTCAGCTGCCTCTTCCTGATGTTAAGTATAAGACTCCTCCTTGTTTGCATCTTAAGGTATAATCCACTTTACTTATTTTTAATGTCTAAAAAAGTGACCCTAGCGATGAAAAAAGATTTAGTACTTTATTTTAAAATCGAAAAATATGAGTTCATAAAGACTATTTTTGATGAGGCAAAAACTTATAGGATTTGAGAGGACTTCATTATGCCGTGAGCGATCCTGGGTTTCCACAACTTCCAGCACCTAGAAGATGATCGTTAACCACTTGCTACTGACTTGTAAGTAGTTTTATTTAGGCTGCATGCATATTTGATGGTTCTTCGATGTACCATGACTCTTTAAGTCGTTGACGATCATGGCTCTCTACAACTTCCTATCCTTTGTAGCTCTTAACAATATTTGTCTTTTTATTATTCCTGTTTTGCCATCCAAAAACTCGTTAGGTTTGCTATTCGCTGTTTCCCACTGTCCCTTCTGTCTTTGATGTGTCCTGTGAGTGTCATAATTTCCAAGTCTTTTTTTCTGTTGTAACCTAGGGAAGGTTACTGAATAGAATAATCAAACGAAGGTTGTCAATGAACGATAATACTTAGGACAAGAACAACACATATAAGATTCGCCAGAGGCAGGTAGAAGTAGTCAACTGCTAGAAGTGAGTCAAGTGAATTCCACAATGAATCTCCAATTCTAGGATATTTACCAACCGCCCCACGCAGTTATGGCACAAAGCCGAATTTAATGTGGGGTATCAGGGCCCATAGGCTTGGCCAAAAATTCCCTCGTAAAAACGGCTCGGGTAGCTGTTTTCTCGAGACGAAACTCTGCCCTTCGACATAGCCTCGTATGGGGATCATCTTTGCCCGGAGGCAGAGAGTTTGACCAGCACAGTTGAAGACGAATCTCCAATTCTAGTATATTTAGCTACCCCACCACGAGGGTTGCATGTGGCACAAGGCCAGTTTAACGTGGGTTCTCCGAGTCCGTAGGCTCGGTCAAAAAATTCCCTTTTGAACCCGTATAAACGTGCTCAGGGGCAGTCTACCTCCCCGAACGAGACTCTACCCTTCGGCGGAGCCTCGTCCAGGTTCCTCTCTGCTCAGAGGCAGAGTTCGACTGTTTAGCTGGAACAGATCCCAGCTAGTCTCGACTCTCCAATTCTAGACCACGTACCGTATTCATTATTGTATTTATGGGAATGGGGGCATACCCATTATCGTCGGTAGGTATGCTACAACATTTCCTCATCATATGTTCCAGAAATTTCGACAGTCTCTTTCTGATTCTAAGTAGAAGTAACATTTTTGTTTCTATTTTCCTTAAAGCTTCCTCGTTACTTGCACGCTTAAATATTACTATATTTATTCGGGAGTAGTGGTTGACGAGTTATTTTTACAGACTATTATTACTGCAGTGAGTTCTTTCCTCACTGAATTATCTCACACTTTTGGCCCACTACTAAAATAGATGAAGATACGTAACTATTGTTACGGTATCAATTGGTAGCCATTAAGGATGGAAATGCACTTACTAAGTGAAGTTTATACAATTGAAATAAATTGATTGTTACTTACTATCTACGTGTGATTTGCGTAATTTCTGAAGGTCCCCAGCATGACAGAACTCATAGAGAATTTTGTTGGTCATGTCTTCAGCAGTTAGATCCATCATGTCCGAAATTCTGTGAAAGAAAATAAGAATCACTATATAAAACATCTTAAGAATAAAAAGGAGACAAACATTATTTTAAAATTAATGTCACATTAGAATATAAAATTAAAAAAAAATAACTGAATCTATTGCTAGGTCAGCTGCTATGAAAGTTGGTTCACTGTGTCGTTCGACACAATTTTTCTCTCCAGAATCTATCTTACATATCTATAAGTCTACCATTCGTCCATGCTTAGAATATTGCTGCCACATACACTCTTGTGCAAATTAATTGAAACAAAATGAATAATTCTGTTATTATTTTTTTTTCGTATTTTTCCAATGAAACATTGCCCAGTACACATGTTAGTACTTCGTATTAACAAAGTCGTTCCTTGCAGATTGACCACATATTCTCCATTGGATTTAAATCAGGAGTGTTTCCAGGCCAGTCTATCGTAGCTTGATTTGCTCACTAGTAAGGCTTGCTAATGTGTTCGTGCACCGTTACAATTTTCGTACGCTTCCTTGGAGTAACGTCCATAGCAGACAATGGCCGTAGCACAGTAAAGGCAATAGTGTCTGAGCGTGATAAAAATCTGGTGCAATCACAGATGACGCAATATTTTTCAAGGCCAAACAAATTTCATCATACACCCCGAAAATAGGTTCATATTACTGCACAACACTGCAAATTACCTAATGTGAGGAAAAATAGAAATCAATTACACCCTGTCACTCCAGTGGGTCTGAAACTGACCGTATGATTAAAGAAAGGAAACTAAAGCGGTTCTTTCAATTAATTTGCACAAGGGTGTATGGTCTAGTGCTCATTCTATTTACCTTGAGCTCCATGATAAAAAGACGAATAAGCAATATTATTGGTCCTGATCTGGCGTCTCGGCTTCAGTCACTTTCGCACCGCTATAAAGTTGCCCCTCTCTGCCTTTTCTACAAATACTTTGATGGTAATTGTTCGGATGAGTTTTTCGCTATGGTACCTCGACTTTGAATTTAAGCGCAATACTGAACTGGCGTCGAGATCTCATCAATATACAGTCGATTTGGCTAGATATAACCGTAAATTCTATGCTAACAGTTTCTTTTCTCGCACTCCTCACTTGTGGAACTCCATGCTTTCCAGCCAACTTTCATCTTCAAAAATTTAAATACAATATCATTCGCTATCTAATGTCTTCTTAACTATTCTTTCCTTTTCCTGCTCATGTTTCTGTTCCTAATTTTTACTTACCCAGTAACCCTTGTGTCTTAGTGGCTTTTCTTCATTGCATGGGGTGAAACAGATACACCCACCACAAAAAGTAGTATTTTACAACAGAAATGTATTGAAAACCACAGAAGAAAGTTATTGTCAGCGGTCGTTATCATAGTCATGTTTAGACATTATCATAAAGCGTTACGGACAGAATGAAATTATTGGACACATAATGTAAATGTATTGTATACAATGTTACCAGAGAAATACATTAAAAATTAGGATTGATTAGTTTATTTTTTTTGTGGTTTATCAAGCCCTAATCGCCTTCTGTCTGAATTTCTGGGATGAGGATATATTTTTTATACTATTTACATTCGGACTATTGTCCTTATCTTTATTATTATTATCACAACATTTCGGCCGATGTGTTCCTTCGGCTTTCATCAGGTATATGTCGATCCGGGTAACCTTCAGGGACTTCCGAACTGAACCGTTATTTAATCTACGGTTTTGTGGTTTGTTTAAAGCCGAAACGTATTTCGAATTGTAGGAGGTCGCTTACAGTACACGGTGTTCCTAAGCGGACTTCCATCTAAATATTGACTGGGGTCGATGCTGCTTAACTTCGACGATGAAACAAGAACTGGTGTTTTCAGCACATTGAAAGAAATATTCAGTGATCAGTGATTAATATAATTGGAGCGGAAAAGTTCTCAGTTCGACCAAGAAACACTAAAAAAAAAAGGTAAAAAGAAAAATTTGATGTTAGATTTTTTGAAGTGAATCTGGCCGGGAACTTTTCAGCACCGTTCTTGTTTAAGTGTTACTGACAGAAGAATGCTATTGAAATGATTATAAATGATTTACACATCCGATGTTGCATCCGCTCTCATGGATTTTTATACTTACATTGGTTCGCAGTAGAGGACACGGAATTCGGGACTCAGTCGGGTGATGAAAATGTCACTGTCTATGCGGAGTTCTGTTATGGTGGGTGGTGGCAATGCAATGGCCATGCCAACCAAACCAAGTAAAGATGGCGGGTGCTTGCGGCTCATTGGGAAACTCATATGACTGCGAAGGGAGGCCATTATGTGTACAACCTGTATTTTTTTTTCAGAAAAAAGAAGATCGAGAAATAATAAATAAATAAAGTGCCAAAAATAGCAGGTGTTTTCGTGTTATATTAGTTTGTTTGTTTGTGAGTGTGTGTGTGTGTGTGTGTGTGCGTCGATAAGTGGGGAAAAGGCGATAAACGTATTGAAATAGATAGGAATAGACTGAGACAGGCAGATAATGTATGTACTGAGATAGATAGATAATGTAAAGACTGAGATAGATAGATAGATAGATAGATAGATAGATAGATAGATAATGTAGAGATAGATAAACAGATAGATAAAGTCTCCAACACTGCATAACAACCAAATGATAAATAATACTTGTTTTGTTGTTTTCTTGTTTCCACGTCTTGCTTACACTATTGGTAGGAAGCTGCGCACTGGTTATCATCAATACTCGAATACAAACGAACAATATATATGGTTATGATACTAACGGGATATACATTATTTATTACATGAGAATAATAATTGTAGGCTTATATTGTATGCATGGGGATAGTGATTGCATGTATTTCTAGAGCTTGACTTTCAGTGCTAAGATGAAGGTTGAATATTTAGGACATTTGTCAGGAAGAAAATGTGTATTAGTATGGGAAATACGGCATAAGATATATATATATATATATATATATATATATATATATATATATATATATATATATATAATATATATATATATATATATATATATATATATATCAGCTCCCAAAAGAGTCTGCCTAAGATTA